TTTTTCCCACATAACATTAACATCCTCATGCATTGATAAAATCTTAAGATTTAAAATCTTACTTTCAAAAATATTTTTGTTAATATTATTTAAATGCCCCAATCTAATCCTAGAATATCGTTTTACTTTATTTTTTATTATCTGCCAATTTATCTTAAAATCTAAAACTAAGAATCGATGTTGGGTGCATAAATTTTCAATCTGAATAACTTTACAATTTTTGCAATCTAAACGATCTAATTTTTTTATAAGAAAATAGTCAATCTAGGTTGTACTATATCCATTTTTTTAAGTGATGAGATTATTTCCTTTTCTTAAATAAGGTATTAGCAATTGAAAAAGCATAAGCTAAACAAAAATCTAATATGGTTTTGCCACCTTCATTTGTTGTTCCAAAACCATAGCCGCCACCATGAATGCTTTTAAAATCATCTACCTCTCTCCAAACATGTCCATTTAAATTTCCGCCAATAAAAATTCTTTCTTCTAGAGGTATCTTTTGTAATAATTCTTCTAAGTTATTCAAAAAATTAATTTAGAACTCATATCCAAATCTATTTGAGGAGAATAAACACTTATAATATTAACAATCTTATCCTCAACAACAATCTTTAAAGCTATAATTCTATCTCAAATTCTATTCATTTTTATAACATTGTTCTTCAAACTCTTATCTATAATAACACCTACACCATTTCTAGTATGAATCCTACCCAAATATCAAAGTTTAAATCCTAAATTATCAATTTCCTTAGCCTTCTCTCCAACCTATTTAGTTTCCTGAATGCACAAAATATCATAATATCTATTAAATACCAAAGTTCATTGCTAGTGGTAGTCTAATTTAAATTGATCATCCTCAGGAATAAAGCTTTATGTAGGTTTTTGGGAATTTGAGAGCATTTCAGTACTGGAATCTTGATAGGATAAGATTTATCTTATTGTGTAAGCCCTGATGTCCACGCAAGTGTACGTGCAGTGTCAAGTAATAAATAATTGTGTCGAGTTTTGTTCCCATGAGGACAGGTGTCATCCTATGATTACTCTAGTACTGTCTATGTGATTCACTAATACTAGTAGAATTATGAGAGTTTGCTACTAGACTTCTCCTACAGTTGCAAAAAAGGAAATTTATATGTCAAAAGTTCTTCTGAACCTATGATAGTGTAAAAATTCTAGTATGCAAAAGTTGGATTCTACTTAAGTTTGCTGTGAATTAGAGCAGTTTTACTCCTAGTTTCTACTGAGCTTATAAGAGTGTCAAGTTAAGTTCACTAAACTTCAGTGATTACATCTCCTAAGATTCCAAAACTCTGGCTATCATATATCTATGCATGGTAAATTTCAGTTTTAACTCCCCTACTTCTTTCTCTATTCCTCTGCCGAGGTGATAGATCACACTTATTTTTTATGTTAATGCACGACCTACGCAGAAACTAAATTAAGAGCAAGGGAATTTAAAACAGCATTTAAAACAGTTCATGAAACTACATCTAAACTTAAGCAGACATGATTTCTTACACATCATAACCTCACAACAAAATTTTAGCCAGTCATGTGATTAGAACTGAACAAAACAATTTTCATTTAATATCAAAAACAAGTAAAAGAGAGTTCAAGAAAAGATGTCACCAAGAAGTTCGTTTCAATATTTGATTAAGGACTCTTCTGACACAAGAATTGATTTCCTGTACTTCCTCCACTCTCTCTAGACACTTCTAGACTGTTTTGCACATGAAAATAAAGCCAGACCCCCGGCCCCTTGGGATATTTGAATGATTTGATGTGTTGCTTTAGACTTTATTGACTTTGCTTTCTTGCAGATAAAGAATTGTGTTTAAAAATTAAAACTTACGATTGGTCATATAGGCAAGCTGGCCTCTAGAATTTTCATTTTAAAATTGTTAAAAGGAGAATTTGAGAGGGAAAAACTTGAATTTTATTAAGCAATCTACTCCCTATTTATAGATCTATACAAGGTATATCAATAAGGAAACAAATAACTCTTATAATAACATGAATACAATTATTCCTAAATCAATGGGAGGAATTAATGCAATCCATGTAGTCTTCCCACAGATTACTGTTCACAGCCGTGGATATCTTTGGGATCGTAAGGTTGAGATTTAACAAAAATGATTGTGAAACGTTTTGAATGCCTTATATAAATGTAAAACAAAATATTTTAGCAAGATTCATGATTGAGTATTTGATTTTTAGTTCTGTGATATGAACTTGTTTCATTAGACCGGAGTTGTAGGAATTTAAAACCATTCTTTAATCCCAATTTTTTTTTAAATTTATCATATAAATATTTATCAAGGCACTTGAGTTTTGTTGAGTCCAATCCTTTAGAAGTGGAGGATCCAACTAGAATATTGGAACTTTCTACCCTACCTTATTGACAGGGTGGTTTGCTTAAGCTTAAATTAAAATTTTTTGTAATAGGGCTATCAAAAAAGCTCATCATTCGTGAACCACTCATGTTTGGCTTGATAGTAAGGTTGTGGTCAACTCGTTTGTTAAGCAAGCTGAACAAGAATTGAATTTTGAGCTCAAATTTTAACATGAACAGGGGCTGTGTTCAGCTCGTATAGGCTT